GGAATATACTCTAGAGATCTGTTCAAATTTGGTAGCTAGCAGGGAATGTCAGCCTGGGATTTAAAAGCCGCTGAGGATAAGCCACAGGTGGGTCCTGAAGACTATTGACTCTTTTAATGATTTGCCTTGGTGCTCTGGTTATTAGTTACTGTAATTTGAAGAAAATAGAAGCTATAAGACCCTACCCTGTTAAACTAGTACTATAATTATAGACTTGTAATAACTTTAAGTCACTTCTTAATGACAGCATTGTGTGTTTTGAACATGGAGGCCAGTTAGCCCAATTTCCAAGTTTTTTGTATACCATAACAGGATTATATAGAAATATCTTACAATTGACTTCATAACTGGAAGAATCCAGTATACTGCTGTAGGTCTACATTTGTTTTATGTGTCAGATAATTGTCAAATCAGAAGGTAATTATGATTAACCTGGCAGCCTATTTTCTCATTATTATTTGTTTTTTGTATACCATAACAGGATTATATAGAAATATCTTACAGTTGACTTCATAACTGGATGAATCCAGTACACTGCTGTAGGTCTACATTTGTTTTATGTGTCAGATAATTGTCAAATCAGAAGGTAATTATGATTAACCTGGCAGTCTATTTTCTCATTATTATTACTGTTATTTTTCAATATCATTACTAATTAAAATTTGAAGCGGGCCTTTTCATTAAAAATATTTCTTATCAAAAATTTGTCTTAAAAATAAACATCATTAAGATTGTAAGTTAGTGTAAGTAGAACAAATTTCTGGAAGAAAATGTGGCGTTACCTGCCAAAATTAAAGGTGTGTACTCTTTGATAGAATCTTTTAATTTTTATGAGTTTAAACCATGATGGAGGGGTTAGACAATGTAAGAGAGAAATAATGCCTAGCTAGTTTTATGTCATAAATTTTAACACAAGTACAACAATCTATAAAAATATTCATTTAGCACTATTACAAATAAAAGTAAACATAATAGAAACACTCTGTCCATTGGTAAAGAAACAGTTAAAATCCTAGAGTATTTATGCTCTGATGTACTTTGCAGTTGTTAGCAGGTTTTAGGAATCTATATTTACTTCATGAGAAGCAGCTGAGCATGTCCTTCAGCACGTGGACCAACCAGCAGACTTTCTGGGTTTACATCCTAACTGCACCATTTGTATTAGCTGTCACCATTAGTGACCACACTCTGCAGACTCTTATTCTCTATGTTTTGGCCATTTGTGACCTTTTGTGTTCCTGGCCTTCTGTTGCATGAGGGAGCTTCATTGATGAGAATTGAGAGATTCATTAGTCTCCTCTTTTTCACCTGTTCTATGTTCCATGAGCTTAGGTGTAGAGGTTGCATTGTAGATGTGTCATTTAGGCCTTGGCAATTCAGACAATGTCTCTGTGTGCCAGTTGTGGGACTGGGTAATAGTCTCTGGTGCAAAATAAGCTTCTTTGATGAGTGGTGATGGGATATTAAATATAAGGTAGCATAAATTGCACATAGTAATAAATT